TAGAAATAAATTGACATTATGATTCCATATAAAGATAAGAGTTTCAAAGAAAAATATTAAAAGGTGATGTGACAGAGTGTGATGTGTGTGGTGGGGGTGCTAGTGCTAATTTAGACTGGGTGGTCAAGGGAGCAGAGAGCAGGTGGAGGGAAAAGACTTCCTTAGAAGGAGGAGCAAGTCTTTAACAGAAAGTGGCTAGAAAGGTGGGTCTGGCGGCAGTTTCATTTGTCTATCATTGGGGGTTACATGTGGGTAGGAAATGTGCCTCTATTTTCACCATTAAATAGTTGGTGAGGACTATGCACACACATAGTAATGGAAACTGGGAGCATGAAGAGTGGCAAAGGTGCAGTATGGGTGTGAGTGCAGACCAGGGACAGGTGGCAGAGTTAGTGGGCAAGCGTCAGAGCAGAAAATGCAGATAGTATGTGCCTAATCCCTGGCACTAAGTGGTCACAGGACTCTGGGGAAGTCCAGGCATCAGTTTCCTTAACTGCAAAATAAGAGCATTGAATCAGGCTCCACAATGATATAAAGGCAAGGAGGAGCTGATATGAAACCTCTGTGTAGCTACACAGTGTATCCCTCGGAACCCACCATGGAAGTCTTTACGACCCAATAGTAATTGGCTCTCTCCCACCATTAATTACATTCTGGCTACTTGTCAGCTAACACAATTGTCAGACTCCTTCAGCAAAATGTCTTTTTCATAGCTAAGGACTGTTTACAGTAAGGACAAACAATTGGGACTCATTAATTCAATAATTAGGACACTGATTATGCATCTATTGTCTACTCTAGTCAGCTATGTTAAATAAGCTCTTCAGTCTTCATCAGAGCAATTATGCTAATATGCTTGACATTTTCCAAGAGTATTATACCTTCATACACTTATCCTGCCTAGCAGTAGCCTGACTCAGTCAATATTGTCACACACAGACAATTATAATCAAGGCATAAGGCCCTATTGTTCACATAGGAATACTGAATAATCTCCTCTCACAGTAGAACTTTAAACACTTTGTATATTGTTCTTTCACAGTTCTAGACATTGGCCCCTGTTTAGTCTTTTTCCAAAATATGCAGATCTCAGATAATATTTAAATGTCTTTATGGGAGCAATCATTACATTGGAATTGTATTGTGATTTTCAAAGTAATATTTGAAAAACCACTGGATTAGTTATCCAATGATCCATTAATCCAATTTTCATTTATACGTTTAAATGTATAGACAAGAAATATAGTAATAATTATCAGATGCCTGGAGAATGATGAGAAATATAACTTGTTTTGCCATATATTTTTCTTTCAGTAGAGCTAACTTCTCTTTCAATTTCTCTATAATTATAGAAGATGCTACACGTATGTTTTATTTTTTTTAGTGACTTTTGGCAAAGAATGTGAATTTTCTAGCATGATCAACTAATGCTTTTATGGTAGGCACATAACAGATATCTGATGAACACCTATTAATGTTTTTTTCTCACATATTCCTTATTCTTGTCTCTAGCATTTCTCATCAAATGTTAAATACTTTTTCTTTTTAGCAAAAGCTAGCATGTGAAGAAGGACCATGTGTATGTAGTGTGTAGAGGCATGGGTATCAACATAAATTCATTTAAAACATGAAATTTCACTGTATTGACATAAAAATCCAGCTAGTGTTGGATTTTGTCATTATTATTTACAATAAAAGTAACCCCCCACATTTGTTCTTTACAGTTTTTATGTAGCTTATGTCATTTAATCAGTGTCCTTTCAGTTGCAAATAACTGGATCTTTTCTTAAGATGTAGTGATGCTCATTGCAATTTAGTCTCACTAGGATAAGCAAATGTAGAGCTTGGATGTTGACAAGAGATGCAGCAGTTGTATTGAGGGCAACTACAAACTGGAAGGATGGGGCAAAGCTGTGTAGAATGCTTGCAGACCTGTGACATACATGTCACTTTTATGTTATACAAATGCTATATTTTACTTTTCTTTAATTACTTAGTATTTTGGTAAGGGTGTGGGAAGACAACTTAGGATAAGCTGTCCTTGTCCTTCAGGAATTTATAGTCTAGATGGGGAGACAAATATACACACATGAGAAGTTAAAAAACTGCTGAAGACTAAACTAATGGATCAAGACATTAATCAAAATGAAGTCACGGTATGTATATCATCCTGACTGTAAGAGAGAAAATTCACAGGTGAGTGGTATAGCTTTAGGCAGAGGTAGCCAGGAAGGGCTTTATAGATTTACCAAAGAGGAGATGAAATATGAGTTGTTTTTTGAGAAATGGATATATATTTAAAAAAAATCAAACTATGGAAGAAACAATGATGAAATTTAAGTTTTCCACTTAAGACCCTGAGGCTCTTTCCAGAAGTAACCACTATTACCATTTTTTTCTTATGTCTTTCTAGTGCATTTAACTACTTTCAAATGGATTCTGAATTGATTTAATTGATTTTACAGTGTCATGTGTAATGAAGGGTTAAACTTGGTTTCTATCCATACAAAAATAAGACTCACTCAATATAATTTATATAATCGGGACCTACTGATAGATCTTGAGGTACCCTAGTGGATTTCCAAGCTGATTGTTGCCATGGCAATCCCTGCTCTATGTGCCTTCAGTTTCTGTCTTGACCCACTTTGGTTTAGACACATTTCTAGCAGAGGGGACAGTAGGCATGCTCCCATTTCTAAGCCCCTTGGGGTTACATTGGAAGCCAGACTGCCCCTCCTCCCATTTCCTCAGGCCTATAGATCCTGGAAGGCTTTCCCGAATGGAAGAGTTATGGGTCTGTAACTCTTCCATTTAGGAAAAAGAGTCTGACACTTCGGAGAGATGTTCTAACTTAGACCTCAAGCCTACTACCCACTGAATTAATGTAACTTCAAAGTACCTAACTCCCCTACTAGGAGCAGATTTTTTCTGGAAGCCCAGACAGCCCTGCTTTAGTACATGCCTCTACTACATCCTGTTCACATAGGAGAAAACAGTTGTGTGACCCAGGGTAGCTTTCCACAGGCCATTTCATATTAACACAAGCCATATTACTGTTGATTTGTGTTAGCAGGAAGGACCAGAAACAGCCTTTCTACTTCTAAGTTGAACAGGCTTTGCCCTAGCCTGGTGGCTCTGAAAAGTGGAAACAGAAGGCACAGGAGGTGGAACAGCTCCACCAATTGGCTTCTGGAATCTCCTTCACAAACTATTTTTGAAAAGGGGTTAGTAGAGCTGCCTCTAAACTGACAATGGGGAAACCACCATGGAAGTAAACTTTCGAAGGAAGAATTTCTGCCTGATAGGTTCATCTTTGCATAAATGTTTACACACAACAGAAGAGAAGGAAAGTTAATGATCATTGACTTTCCTTTAACTTCAAAGCCCTGTGCTATTCACTTTCATATTGATTGTTTTATTTAATCATCACATAACTATATTTAAGTAAGTATCATTGCAGGTGAGTTCCACTTGCCAAAGATCACACATTTGGAACAGAGCTGCATTCAGAACTACAATTTGCCTAATGCCTGACTCCACGGTGCACGCTCTTCATTGCAACCTTTCCATGAGAAAAGTACTTTACACGTTTGAGAGAAATAGTGGAAATGCTGGAGATTTTGAAAGGACATCTGGAAAACCTGTATGATTCAGGGGATGGCCAAATATCACTCAGGGTCCACTTGAAGGCACCTCCTCTGGGACACCTTCAATTCTCACAGGAGTATACTTCAAAAATTCTTACTGTTGGAAATGCTCATTTGGTACTTCCTGATTACTGATTTGTATTGGTAGTTACTTTTTCCTGCTTGCTTACCTTGAATCCCCAGTTAAATCTATGAAGCACATGAGAATGAGTGCTGGACAAGCAGCCAAGAAAGCTGTATTCTAGTCTTGTCTCTGCCACCAACTCCCTGTCTGAGACCGAAGTTTCTTTTCAACTTCAGTTCTGTGGTGCTTCCGAACATAGAAGGCGCTTAATAAATACTTGATGTGATTAGTTGAGTTCAATATTTTGTCAGCAGAGGCTTGGGTGTCCCTAAGGAAAAAGCAACAAGGTTACCCCTGGGAGGGGTTATCCCCTGGGTAGTCATAAGTTTAGGGCCTTGCCGCCTCCTGTAAGGCAGATGTCTGAAGTTGGGGCCTAGGAACATCTCCACAACAGTAAAGGGGAGGGAAGACAACCCAGCAATTAAGGGGCATCTTGACAGCACTTATCTTTTAGACTTCACAAGGACCCTTTGGAACACTCATTATTAATGTCACTTTTACTGAAGATGGTACCACGAAGCAGGTTAGACAAAAATATCAGGCACCCCCTACTCTGGTCCTAAATGAACGTAAAAGCCCCCTGCTATAGGCTTATTTACATCTCGGACTCGCCCCAGTCGGCAGCACGAGGGCCCCGCCCACTCGCCCGCTGATTTGCATAGGGCGCACCCAGCGGCGGGCGGGTACCCGGGCATCTCCAGAAGCTTTTCTGTCCCAGGCGCGTCCCGGCCTCCAGGCGGGCCCGAGGCCTCCCTGGGGGATGAGCACGTGTCCACTCTCAGACTCACGACCAGGGGGACGAGGCGGCGGCCCCCCTAGGCCCCTCCCAACGGCGCTGGCGAGGAGCTGGGAGGGTCCCGGGGCCCACTGGTCCCTGGGGTCGCCTTCCACCACGGAAGGCTGCAGGCCTCCGGTTCCCTCCCCCGGGCACTGTGGGAGCGCGCCGGAGACGAACTCAAGCGAAACCGCGGACGTCCCAACCCGCCCGGCCGCGCCCCGCCTCGCCTCACGCTCGACGGGGGAGGCGGGACCAATCAGCGAGCGACGTCTCCCTTCCGATTCGAGGCCCCCGACGCGCGGCTCACACCCCGAGCTCCCCGCGCGCTGATTGGCTGCGGACGCCGCCGGTCCGGCCGGGAGGCGGAGCGGGCCGAAGGCAAAGGGAGGTGGGGAGGCGGTGGCCCGCGACTCCCCGCGCCCCGCTCGCCCCACAGCTCTTCCCGCGGCGCTGGGCCTCCTTCCTTTCCTCCTCCGCTCCCTCCGTCTTCAGTGCGCGCCCCGCGCGGCGCTCGGCCGGCGTGCCTCGCGCCCTAACGGGCGGCTGGGGGCGCCAATCAGCGGGCGGCAGGGTGCCAGCCCCGGGGCTGCGTCGGCGAATCGGCGGGGCTCGCGGCCCGGGGTGGGAGGCGGGTCTACCCGCGCGGCCGCGGCGGCGGAGAAGCAGCTCGCCAGCCAGCAGCCCGCGAGCGCCAAGCGAGCCGCCGGGAGGTGGGTGCGCTGCGCCGCGGCGTCCGGCGGCCGAGGGCGGAGGGCGGAAGCGGAGGTGGGCCGGCGGTGAGGGCGCGGCCGAGCGGGCGGCCGAGAGGGGATGCGGGCGCGCGCCTGAGGGGAGGAGGGGCGGCGCGGGGCGCGCGCCCTCAGCCCTCTTTCCTCGCGGGCGGCGGCCGGGCCCCCACCCTCCTGTGCGCTTGGGCGGCCGGCCGGGCCCGGCTTGGGGGGCGGGGCGGGGCGGGAAGACAGCAGCCTGGAGTGTTTTCAGTTCCGCCTCCAATCGCCCATTCCCCTCTTCCCCTCCCAGCCCCCTCCATCCCATCGGAAGAGGAAGGAACAAAAGGTCCCGGACCCCCCGGAGCTGACAGGGCGGAACCCGGCCCCTCTGTGCAGGTAAAGCCTGGGCGCCCGCGGGCCTCGGGCTAGGGGTGTGTTTGGCCGGGGCCGGGGTGGTTAGCCGTGTCACATGGCCACGGTGGGGTGGGGGTTGGGGTGTGGCGAGTTCGGGGCCGTGGGCGCGCCGGCCCGGGCATCGGGGGTCCGGGCCGGGAGGGCAGGGGCTCGGCGTCCCGGAGCTGTGTGTCCGCCCGGGCCCGGGGCGGGAGCCGCCTGCGTTCCTTCTCCTCCGCGGCCGACGCGCTCGGTAGTTTGTGGTTCTGATTTTTAAAGCCGAAGGGCCAGAGCTCTTGTTTTAGGAGTTGTTGGGAAGCCCTATTAGGAGCTGGTAATACTTTGCTTCCACTTTTTTTTTTTTGGTCCTGTAACCTTTGTTAACCATAATACTCTCGGGTTTTTTTATTGCTTTTGTGTACTCTCACCCAAACATACGCACACGGCTGATAACTCTGTCGAGATCATCCTTTACTCATTTGTGAAAGTTGCTGTGTGAGTGGAGCCTGTTAGCTTTTATCACACGCCTTTAGAAAGCATGCTAATTGATTTCACGTATTTCAAACTTGGTTTTCAGAATTGCAACTTTAATTTTTTGTTGTCTTGTGGGGGATACTGTCCTTAGGTCAGGTACTTTTGTCTTTTATTTACTTTCCTTACGTGGTTATGGTTTTCTTTTGATCCTAAACAAAAGAAAAACAACACCCAGGTTAGTTTGGTTATTCCTACCTCTTGACCCTTTAAAAGCTAAATACTAGCAGTTTGTTGTCAGTCAAACCTTTTAAGAAAAAAGTCTCCAGGTAAAACGAATTTGCAAGCAGTATTTTTCATCAAAGTCATATCTTGTTTGTTGCTATAGTTTGGACTATCCTGAATTTTGGCATGTTAAACTTTTAAGACCACGTATGTAAAATAATAATAAATAAAAAAAATCATAATAAGTAACCAGTCAAACTCACTTGGAGGAATTTCATCCTTTCAGAAATGGTCCCTGAAATGTGAATTAACTTCCAAAATTCCTTTTCATTTTCTCTCCTTGATTTCATGTGAATTGAACCTGTATTACTGATAGGATGTTTTCCTTAAGCCTAACAAGAGAATAAATTTGCTATTATTATGCTGAAAATACATTTGCTGCTCTATTTTGCCCCCCTTTAAAAAAGTTTTCCTCTTACAGAGAAGTGTGTAAGTCATATAGTTAAATGAAGTTTGGACGGTTTTAATACATGAATTAGTGAAGCAACTGCAACGCAGAGATGGGAGAAATAATGTAAAATGGACTTTATAAATGTATCATGGTTTGAGGCTTTTTTTCATTTGCCTTAAAAAAACCCATAGAATAAATTTAAAGAATTTCCTACGCCAAAAGGTCATTTAGCAAGCGTTTATATTAAATTCAAAAAGTAACACTACTTTTATTTTGTAAAGTTCCTTAGTCTTTGCCGTAAACTTAGCTGTGGTAGTAAATATAAATAGTTCTTGTCTTTGGGCATTTCTAAAGAGAGTGCCCACTTGTACTCTTAATGTTAAAATCTGTTGGATTTAATTGAGTTTAAGGAAGTTCGTTGGCTAGGTTTAATTAATGTAATGTGATTGGCAACATTCATTTCTGGGCTTTTAAGTAAGAAATAGCTCTGAGAGCTTGGTTTTTTATACTTGATAGCTACACCTTCTAAAGTGATTTTGGATTATAGGTGTTAAAAGTTTGTTTTTTCAAGGTTGTAACCTACCTGTACCTAGTCATAAGTGGTCAATTCTTTACACAATCTGTAAAGTTCATGAAATAATAGTCTTGTAAGAAACTGTGCAGGGTGATTTCCTGTTTGTGGCCTGTCAGGTTATGCATTTAACTCTTAGGTAGGAATATTTGGGATAATTTTGTGTGTTTCACCAAAAGTTCTCTTTAATATTTCAGAACAAAGGTTGTTTATACTTGAAGATGGCAAGAGGTCTCCTTTTTATTTTCTAATAGAAAATATTAGAATCGTATTGTTATAAAGCTTCACATTTGAGGGAAAATATATAAGAGAAAAAACCTCAGTTTAGCTGCATAAACTGCTGGTCAAACACCTATTGAATTCTTACATTTTGCAAATGTTGTAAGTTTTGACTTTAGGTCTGACAGCTTTCCTTATTGTTTGGTTTTGATTCTGTTGGTTTTGTGCTGTAGGTAGCAGCTTTTTTATACAGGTGTTTTTGTAATGCGTGTAAAAGCTGTATTTAGTGCAGTCTGGCAGATGGAGATTTATTCATATTCTTGGGACAAGAGTAATTTTTAGAGGGTGGAGAGGGGCATGTCTTTTGGATTTCTTGTTTTTTCATGGGAGGAGGAGAGCCGCTTATAGGCCCTTAGTTTTTGTAAGTATTGCAGAGGTATGTCAGAAAATGTGAAATGTAAGGAATTCGAAACTAGTTCAGGAAAGGTTATGCATTTATTTAACAAATACCTTGTGTTTATTGAACAAGTGGCATTTATTCAAAAACAGCTTTTTCTGTGTGTCAGGCTGTGAACTAGGCAATAAAGTAACAGCAAACAAGTACACCCCTGTTCATTAATGGAATTGGAAAAATGGAAACTCCTCATTACCCAGTGTTTAGAGTAAGAAAATTGTTAACGTACAAATTGAGGGAGCATGCAGTAAATTTATTACTGAACCAGTTCCTAAAGTATGCTTGCATTGCTTCCTGTCAAATATAGAGGATAGCGCTAGGGAAGATGTGAAGTGTTAACTTATAGTTCACTGGGAACAATCAGTGTATTATCAGTGTATTTTGGGGGGGAACTTGTCACCAATTTTGCACGGCCTATACAAACTGAAGGTATGGCCAGTCTTTCAGAAACACATTTGTTGCCAAACGCATATACTTGCAGAGGTACATGTCATTTGTCCTTAATTCAATTACATATTGCCTTTTAGTTATAGAAACAGGTTAAGGAAAGAAAGCAAACTTGAATCAGTCAGGTTCCAGTCAAAGGATCAGGAATAAAGTATAAAAGTAATTGGCTAAACTGAGAATAAGGTTTGGGCAGCAGTCTCATGTAGTGGAAAAGTCTTGGGTTGTGGAGTAGAGCCCTAGGCTAATATTTGGTTTCTCAGATACAATATTGGGGAAATTACTCCTTAACCCTTGAGCCTTGATTTTTCTGGCTGAAAATGGAAGTAATTACCTTTACATTTTAAGGTTATTATAAGGATTAAATGATCACGATTAAAATAGCTAGAACATTGCCTCAGACATAAGGGTCCTCCTAAATGATCTAGTTGTGGGTTTCAGTTACTTGGGCTCTTTCTAATTTGCTAATATCCTTGAAAAGCAGAAAGGCTACCCCACAAAGGCTTGGGGTAGCCAAATTGTCCAAGTCCATACCTTAAAGCATAGGAAAGCGTTGGAGACCCTTAGTCAGAACCTGTTGGCATTTATTTAAAATGTTTCTGACAAGCAGAGTTTCTGGCTTCTAAGCCCACAGTAAATTAGAAACACATAGATTATGGCTAGTGTGGGAGGTTAAGGGGCGTGTAGTTGTGGGGTGGGTAGGAAGATGGGGAACTGTTAGCCTACTGTCTATTGTAAAAAAAAACCAAACAAAAAAACAGCCTGTTGAGGATAATAGAGATAATCTGCAAGACACAAAAACAAACATTGAAAGCCTCACTAGCATGTCTGGGGCCATTCAGTGCAGCACCAGACCTGAAAGCATAGTAATGAATGTTCATCAATTAACATAAGTCATGTTTGGGAAAATCTGTTTAAGAGTGTAGCAATCTACATAATATTCTTTAGATTGTTATTCAGGATGATTAACAAATGTTCTTAAAGGGGTAGAACATAATGCTATATAGTTTATGACTTATTTCATGATAAGTCCATAGTACCTACTATGAAAAAGATGTTTTTCATTTGTTTTGCCATTCAGAGAGCCATGATTCCACACTGAAAAGTCTTTATGCTAGTCAGTATAGTAAAGAAAGGCGATCTAAGTGGTGTAGCATCCTATAGCAGAACTTTTCTTCAGAGGAGGTCTTTTTTTTTTGTAATCAATCTGTGGGCGTGTCATGTAAAACTTTTCATTCAGGCTTTGAGATATATGTTAGAGATTTCTTCCAGGACAAAGCAAGTGTGGACAGTTGGCCAATCTCTGTTGAGGGCTTCTTGACTCGTATTACATGTGACTTTTGCCCAGTATTAGCTTTGATAAGTTTTTGGGGATCCTCTTCCTCCCTACCTTAGGGTTACTTTCTAAACAATCTGCTCCATCACATAATTATTGGTAACCTTATAACATGTAGCCTTGGCTATTAAAAAAATAGAATTTCTTTTTTAGCAGCAGTACAAAAGTAATCCAGCCATTTTCATTTAAAAATGCATAGTTAGAGGCTTATTGCTTGTTGCTGACCAATTTTGATCATTTCTTCAGGTTGGTATAATTATGATGTATTCAGTTAGGGCATATTTCAATGCTGATTCTAGATTTACACCTCAGAGATAGCTGTCAGCTTCAATTCAGCAATTTCATGTAGGAAGAATGTAATTTTGCCAAGCCAGGTGGATTTAGACATTGCCTCTAGCTGGCCAGATATCCAGAAATATTACGGTAATTCTGTGATTTATGAGCTTGCCTCACATTCTAGAATGTGAGTTTTCCTTTAACTCAGTGGGTTCTTATTTGTAACTGAGCCACGCTGATAGGACAGGTGCTTGGTAATTTAGATGTGTCTTAAGATTTGTACTCTTAAGAAAGTAGAAATCCTAAAATGATTCATTTTCATTAACATATGTGAATTTACTGTGAAATTGTCATTAATTCTTCCAGGTAGCTCTGTAATTTTTCAAAATCTGGGATTACATTGGCCTCAAGGATGTAGGGCAATGGAAAGTGAGTGTAGACTATAATTGCTGTCTGTTCAGTATACATGCCTCATTTACATCTGAAAACTTGCATTTCCTTGAATAATCTATAGGGCCTTACCTTCCATCATTTTTGGGGGGGAGGGGTATAGTTT